TAGAGCATCTCCAGCCGTTGGCCCTCCAGGAGGCGCTAAAAGTCGCCCCCTGGGGGCGCACCGGCGCTAAACCGCGCGCTGGGGGCGTGATGCCCCCCAGTCGCGGCGCCCATGTATTTTTGAAAATTTTAAACATGGCGCAAATTCAACGCAAACTTCGGCGAGTTAGGCGAGAGGAGGACGGGGGAGCGGGGTACTCGAGGCGCGGCGTGTTGCCGCCCTCGATGTACTCGGGGACGGCCTCGATGTACCGGTGCCGCCCCTCGGAGTTGAGCCTGCCGGAGGGCACGACGCCGTTCGTCACTTCAAGCTGTTCGGCGTGGCGGCGGCGGAAGTAGGGCTCCCAGAGCGGGCTCTCGGGGGTGTACCGCGGGCCTTCCCTCGCCGCCCGCGGTAGGGACGCGCGGATATGTGCGATCTCCGCACGCCGCACCGCCTCGGTGGGTGGTGGTGGCACCGGCACGCCGCCGGCGCTGATCCTCCACGCCCCGGTCACCCACATGTCCGGCGGGACCGGGTACTCGGCCTCGAAAAGGAGGCGAGCCTCGTCCTCATGAAGATGGCGGCAGCCGAAGCCGTTCGCCGCCGCGCCGTCGCCTGGGAAGCGCTCGGCCATTCTTTTGAATTGGAGACGGCGAGAGGAGGGGAGGGAGGAAGGGGGAGAAATGGCGCATCGGCGGTGGAGGCTCTGTGCGTGTCTCCGGCGTGCTGGGGTCGGCTTATATAGGCGGAGGCGCCGCGTAGTACGCGTGGCCGGCGCGTTACGCGTGCCGGGCGAGGGGACGTGCGTCGCCCGGCCTTCACTACGCTTCCCGTGAGGCATCAATGGAGGCTGACCGGCGCGGCAGCGCGCGCAGCTTTGGCATTGATTCACCGCGGGAAACGAGGCGATGAGGACGATGAAGCGGCGAGAAGAGAGGCGAGTCGCTGGCAAGGAGGGCCCGCGGCTCTTTCGCGCGAAAAGCGATTCGCCTGGCGCCCCCGAGCGCCCCCAGCGCGCCGGGTTCGGGTTGGGTCCGCCGGCGCCAATTTCGGCCCGAGCCGGCGAAAACTGGTCCCTTAGGGGCGCGACTGGGCCGATTTTTTGGTGCCGGTGGCCGAAAAATCACCTGGGGGGCCTTGTTGGGGGCGCGGCTGGAGATGCTCTTAGCTGTAGCGCTGTATTTTGGGTCGCGTTGCTACTACAGCTAGCGTCGGTGGGCTTGTTGGGTCCCACTTATCAGTAGCGCTCTTTGTATTTACAGAACTACTGCTAAATCATAACTTGAAGCGCTGTCCGAGACCAACGCTACCGCTAATTAGCTGCAACGCTGGTTATTTTCCAGCGCTACTACTGATGTGCTATCTATAAGCGCTTCCCTAATAGTGAATGCTTCTTAATTTCGGGATCATTGTATATGAGCTGTGCTAATGTGGTCTTGCCAAGGCCCCCATTCCAGCAATGGGAGGAACTGCAAGATCTGAACTGCTAGCTTGACCAAGTAGTGTATCAACAATATTCTACTTATCTTTGTCTCTGGATCTACTGTCAATTTCTTATGGGTCGATGATAACATAATCTGTCTGCCTCCACTCTTTGGACACCGGTGGTTGTGTTTGGTAATTGAAGCCAAAGGCCTGCATATCTGCATAATCTGTCTACCTCAATTGCTTGCAGAATCCGGCAAAGCTTGCGAGCCATTCTGCGACGGAATACAATATGGTTGTGAGTAGGGAAGAGTTTGATAACATCGAAGCCAAGCTTGGCGTAGTGCCCATTCTTCTTGGCTTCAAGGCGGAGCCCTTCATACTTGAATTCGTCGAAGACTTGATTTGCCTCATAAACGGCTGTCTTCAGCTCGTGGAGCCAGGCTTTTGCCCTTTCTCTGTGGGCTATCGCCTGCTCCTCGGCATCGGCAATGACATCGAGGATGGCTGGAAGTTTGCGTTCGAGAACCTTGTGCTGCTTCACCATTCCCTTCATCACCTTGTACAGGTCCAGGAGGAAGTTGGACGACTTCTTCATCATAGTGGACACCGGTGGCTGGCTCGCCATGGTGGCCACCACCTCCGCCATTGGGACGATCAAAACACCCCCAACACACTCAGAATACGGGGAACACAGGTGCAGTGCAGATTGGAGAAGAATGGTGTTAGCAACACGTTCTTGCTTGTGACTTGTGAGGAAAATGGAAGACAACGTGGTGGGGGCAGAGCATCACTAATAATTTGGCCTGCGTACAGGACAGAGAGATGCTGAGATCGATACAAAGGTGTAGTTCTACTGTAGTTAGGGATGTAGGATTAGGATCAGGTCTGATTATTGAGATTCTATGCATCATCTCTTTAATTTGGCCCTACAAACAGAAAAGTTGAAATGCAATAATGCATGTGAGACGAAACACAGTAGCACTGGATACAAGGCATTATTTTACTCCCTTGGAAGTTGCACGACCGCTTACATGGCTGACTGTGGGTTTGCCAGTGCGAGGTATGCCGACATATGCTAGCTTATTGGTCAGATCGAATAAGGGGTACAACATGGGCTACTTGGATGGATACGGCGAGTGTTTTGTCACGTCAGACGCCATAACAGCTGGGGTTTTACCGTTCCACTGGCTACATGACCCTGCATTATGGCCAAACATTATTGCCATAGCAAAAGTGAAAAAATATTCATCTCAGTTTGGCGATTGGTAAGCAATCAGCTGTAAGTCTCCCTTAATGATTTGTAGTGTATGACACTCCCACTCCTGCATCAGAACAACATTCCACATAAGCAAACAATATCAAATAGTAATATTTCAAACATCGATGACAAACTAATTAACTAATGACAGGGAATATTAATTTAGTCTTGTTGGGTTATGCTAACAGCTTGAGTAAACATGTGGTAGGCTAAGCTAGCCAACGCACAAGCATAACTAGCAGAGAAACAGGAATCCTGTGTGAAGGGCATTACTAATAACACTAGTCTATAAAACCAGAGGAGTGGCTGATTGACTGACTACAGGAGGCTATAAAAGAAACACAGTGGTAAAAATCCTTGAGAAGAAGAGCATGCAAACCATCAACTGAAACTGCGCCGAAAGTAAGTGAAGCACGCAAAATCTTACATAACAGAAACTGAACCTGCTCTTTCGGTTCCTGCATCAGCATTGGGCTACAGCCAGCAAGATTCATGTCCTCCCTCGTAAGCAGCCAGCAAGTAATTCAGATATCTACAACACTGCCGCTGACCCTGTTGCACACACCCAAAGGACCTGCAGAAGACCGGATCCGGATCAGATCGTCTCGGCCTGGGTTGTGATTCAGTAATGCTCGACTCGACTCGACGCCAACAAGTCGAACCTGGCAGATGCTCAAGGAGATGACTTAATTCACATCACGTACGCAGAAGATAGAAATCAAAGTTCAGCTAAGCCAACAACAACCATGACGTGACCTAGTAGTACACACCCAAATACAGATCAGATCGTCTCGGCGTGGACTGGGATGTGTGTCAGCGATGCTTGACTCGACCCGAGAGTTACTGTTGTACAATACAGTCGTAGAAGCAATCGCAAGTCATTCCGCGAGCAGCAGCCATCGGGGAGGCCTACTTACTGAATAAAGGAGGCTGTTCTGCAAATAAACATAAGAAACACACTTGTAGTAACTAAATAATTGTGAAGAAGAGCACTGCTGCTTAATTCTGGCATGCAAACCATCGACTGAAGCCGGGTTGTGAATGCAGTAAATCGTCACTCACAGAAGCCTATTACCTAGCAGTGACCACTGAGTTCACTTGACAATGACACCAACAGTACTAGCTTTGATCTAGCCTCTCTATATGTGGATATAAGAGGGAGTTAGAATTATCCCCTTGGTATGCAAGTGGGACGTGCTAGCTTTGAGAGATCTAGCTCATGCTCTAGATGGTGAATCTTAAAACAAGAACTAGAAAGAGATGAATGATGCGATGGAAAGATTTGTGTTATTTTCTTATCGACTAGGTAAAACAAGCAGGAATATAAGGAATAAGAAGCATAGTATATCACATAAGGGAGGAGCTACATCAAGGCCAAATGGGCCATGGCCCGCCAAACTTTTGGAATTGTAGTCTATACATTTATTCTTGGGCCTTCGAATACCAGCTCACATGCTATTGTCTTCTGTTTTGCCAGCCGGCCCGCCCAACATCAGGCTTCAAGCTCTTTCACTGTATATCACCATGATGTATTTGTTGAGGAAAGAAGGGGACTTGAGCTCTTTTCAAGATATTTACATGATATTTAGATCTTTAGTATTAATTACGAACTCTTTTCTTTGGTTAAGGCTCACCTAGGTTGTTATGTTTGTTCTTATGACTAACAACTTAATTAATTTTAATCTCTCCATGAACCATTTGCTTTCGCGGATCTAGAATAACAAGTTGACAGAAGGAGAACTGTATCCATATTGATGATCAAGTCCTTGCCTCCTTGAAATGTAGTAATGTTACTATTTAAGCTATTTTTGCCACTAATACCCACATATCCCAATATCATGGATTTGGCCACTTATGCATGCTAAAGTGTCTTTGTCATATTTCAAGACCCAAAATCTATTATTTTTCTAAAGGTATTTTTACAACTCACGTATATGATTTTTCATAAATCATTATTCTACTTTTACTTGACATATGCAGAACTACGAATTGCAATGTATCTAATTGTGTTGCAAAATTGTAGCTATGAAATATTATTTAGCCTTGTCGTGTAGGAACAGCACACAAATAAGAGAGAGAAGTACACAAAATAAGCTCGGTTTATATATATTGTAGAACAAAGAGGCAAGTCATCAAGCTCTTAGTACATCATTTCATTTTCAAGCAAGTACATGTAGACAGTAGCAAAAGGCACGCACAATAAAAAGGAAAATAAATAGTACACGAGATCACGACATGGAAGACCCTTGTCCTTCTGCTTATTAACTGTTGCAATGAGCGAGGCGTTGACCGGGGCAAGAAGATTCTGAAGCAACTTAACACATGCATTGTGCTAAATTGGGCACGCGTAAATGCCAAGTGCATTGACAGACCCCCCAGCACGTGGAAAGAATCCCCCAATGTTGTTACCATCTGGAACCTCGCTGCTAAAAGGGGTACCGTTTGCTTTTCCAAAAGGCCCATATGTTGTAACACTACTGACCAAGGTAAGTGATGTAACAATTGTCTCTCCTCCAACTGCACCGGTAGTTCCAAGAACTTGCTTTATAAACTCGGAAGGAGCAAGTGTGATCTGGAAGGGAGCGGATGTATTGGGTATGAGATGTAAGTTATACCACAGAAAAAAATGCAGAAATTACAGTGGAATATCAGAAATAACTCACCGTTGCAGTAAGTGCACCATCACCACCCCATGGTCCAGCAGTTTTCTTCTGGCCAGTTTGGTCAGTGTAGGAAAACATAACCGAGTTAATCACGTCCCCACATCTAATTGTCACAGTTTGAAGAGAACGAGGCAGCTCCGTGATGTCAAAGGATGTCCCACCATCCCCACCCCAAGGTCCCATCTTTGTCACTGGGATCTGGGTATAGGTGATCAAACGACATAGAATATCGTAAAAATTTGTATTTATGTAAATCCAAGTAATTAGGTGAGATGCGATTTTATATAAGCGGACTTAATATAGGAAACTAATTACTGGTAAATGTATCTCACCGCTTTGGGGATGCACAGACAAAAAGCACTGATACGAAGCTCCCAAGTACGCCCGGGAGTAGGTGGTACAGTTTGGATTACTTTGGCGACCACTACACCTTGTGCATATGCAAACTCTCCACTCCCACCTACAATTGCCCATTCACTATTGTTTCCTACAAAGTCTCCAAGAACCTTAAGGCTGGACCCCTTAAACCTAGTAAGTGAAGTCAAAATCACAAAATTTTAGCACAAAAAATATGTATAGATGCAGTGTAATTAATTGGGATGCTAACAACTCTAAAAGATGGGAAACCAACCTGGTATCAGTGAACAATATATTATGACAGAATAACCAGTTCTCGCAACTTTGCCCGCACCCATGTGCATGCCACGAGCACGTGCGACAAGGTTTGCATCGGCAGCCGGACCATCATGTATGGTCCAGTCGTTTGCAACGGTGTGACCAAACCCAAAAAGCTGACCTGGTGGATTGACAACAGTGACTTGGTTGGCGTTGGTAACACCCGGACCATCAAATATCTGGTTCATGTATAAGTGGAAGAGATGCTCTTTCTGCTTAATGTCTTGGCAAACACCACTCTGGTAATAGGAAGGGTTTGTAGCGGCCATGGCTATCGTGTGTGTGGGGAGCTTTAGCTAAGCAAGCTAACTGAGTTTCAATGTGTTTGGTGAGGAAATGAACAAAGTGAAGGTCGCAATTTATAGCTGGGGTTCCATGTGTCTGGTGAGCCACTAGATGCTGAGTCAGATCCAGTTAAAATATGTTCTTCTCAGCAGCCATAAAACAGCTAAGACCTCCTAATTGAACATAAATTCATGGGAGCTTAAGATATGAGCTTTATTTAAACTTTGTCCTTTTGGTCCAAATAATACAATCTTTGTGAATGACTTGAGCTCATTTGTCATATTGTAGGTTTGGTACTTAGTATATATATCTAGGGCGTCGATTTGTCATGGCTTAACATGCATGCATGTGGTGTGCCAGACTCATACAAATCATTACCCTATTTTATATCTCGAATTCGACTACACACCAGAATCTACATCTCGGATGCCACTACACCAGAATGACCATATGAGATGTGGTAGTGCACCCTGTCCAGCATCGAATAGCCAGTTCTAGAATTGTTAGTGCTCAGTCTCTCTAAGCTTTTCACTTGAAGCCTCTGAGCTTCAAAGCTCCATTGAGGCAGCAAGGACATTTCAAGCTAGTTACAACTATTTGTTTAGAACAGCCATAGTGTCTACTCTGTTCAGCTGTTGTGTCTACTATGTACAATCGCTTTTTGCTAGAATTCGGAAATCCTACTACGGGATTAGGAGAAGTAATCGGCAAGGCTATGCCATGATCCATGTGTCCGTGAGAGCAAAGCTGAGAAAAAAAAAAGCAGTGGCAGCCATTAGGTGGAGGCCACGTACATAGCCATTCAGGTGAAGGTGCAGGAGTCAGAACTAAGGCCAGCAAGTCTATGCTCTGGCTTATACAATTATGCCAAACATCTATCTTCTTACGACAGGCGCATATCGTTTAGAAAAATTATGTATCAATTGGAGTACCACTTGCTTTGAACACATCTAAATATAATGCCAATAATAAGATGTGGACAATGAATCACATAAAAAAATGGTCGGAGTAGGACTAGTTTGTTTCTAAAGTATTTGAAAAGACCGGAGGTTTAGTCATTTCATTCCTTTTGTTTGACGCGTCTTCCAAGAAGCGGAAAGGTTTATGCTTGTGTTTTGTTATATCTGCTTGGTTGTCTCTAGCATATATTTTTTAGAATTTTTCTCTAGCATATACTCACATGAAGGCGGCACTTCTTATAATTTCCATTGAAGTTTCTTCACGCGAGCTGCATTGCTACCGTTTCATATACTAATATTCACACTATGAAGAACAAATACTGAAATTCCAGATTGTTTGGCAGTACCGAAGTTATCCTCAGCCAATTGGCCGACGTGGAGCCTATTGATCCGCATTCACTCGTAGGTCATGCGATTCATAACGGGGAGAACTTGCACCAGTCATGCATGCATGTTATCATTAGTTCCATATATCTAGTGAATGCAGTGGTGGTCTGGATAAGATCGAGCAGTCTGTTTGGGTGAAATATCCAACATGTCTAGGGCTTCCCAGGCTATTGGGGCTCGCTAGCCATTCAATAATTGGGTTGAACTCATTTTTACCTCTCGATCATCCATTTTTTGGCAGGGAAATGTTACACTGGCCATCCATCGCTATGCCCTTCATAGTGGAACTTCAGTTCCGATTGGTCCCATGCATCAGCCAACGGTGGGCACATCTGCTAGTATGTGAGGAACTTAATATGGTCACCCTAAGTTTCATGGGAGTTAAAGGGGAAAAAACACGCATCTCATCTCTGCTCCTCCCACACATCCTCTCCCTCGCCACCCATGCGACTACCATGGCATCACTCCACTCTCGCCGCCGGCATGCCTCACCGTCGTCCCGGACCTGCCCTGGAAGCTCGACAATGATAGTGAAAACAAAAATCTCGTCTCATCTCCATTGCATAGCTGCGGTCGCAACTGAACTTCCTCTTTTCTCTGTTGGGCATCATGGCACCATCTCCTCACAGCATGTGTCACCTCTCTGGTTCATACGCACCCTCACCAAGCTCGTTGGGAAAAGAAGGTTTCAAGCACCACTTGTCCCCTTTATTGATTTCCTCCCCCAGGTAGCTGGTCAACTTAAGCAGAGCTGGCTACAAAGTGAGATGATGCCACAGAGCGACAACCGCTCTTGACACCGTCCATTGCACCGGAGCTCTCATCGTTGTCCTGGTTGTCCAATAACAATAATTTCTATGACCCAAAATCTGTAGAAAATATACCAATATGTACTAGAAAAAATTAGTATTCACCACAAAGTATATTTTCATACAATATATATTTGATGCTGTATATCATAGTATTTTTTTGTACAAAATTTGTAAAACTTAAAATTGCTTGACTTGAGACAAAGTAGAAACTCAATTAATTTGGAATGGAGAGAGTATCACCCGAAATTATACAACAAATGAGGAAAAGAGAATCCTAGATGGTACAGTGAAGTAATTAAAGTCTCTTCGTCTTATATGAGCCGAACAACATAGCTTGCTCTACAAAAAGCAATATGTCAATCGAAGTTGTCTTAATTTTACAACCTCTACTAATGACATTATTAGTATGATTAGAACGAGTAGGCTATCTTCAAACCTCCGACCATCACCTCTCCGGCCTCCATTGGGTGTCCAGAAGCTAGGAAGAAGAGTCGAGTATAGATGGAGAGCTGTCTCTAGATGAATAAAGGACCAAAAATTTGCTCATATCTTAACTTACCGAGATCATCGATTTCACTGAAAAAACATGGTCGATGCATAAATATAGTGCATATTGGTTTTCTTTTTCACCCTGGGGTTGGGGTGGACTATTTACATGTTGCCTGGAAAACAATTATGGAAATGGACAGACGGATCATCATCTTCTTCCTCCAATCATATCCTTCTCACGAATTGTTTACTTTCTTCCTCGTATTAGACTGACGTGATGGCCCACTGCTTCAACGACATCCTATCCGAGCCC